CGGTTCCAATTCGTGTTCTGTAGGTTGCGGTCTGACCCCTTCTCCGGCTTCTCGCGTTGCGAATCCACCGGTCTCCGGACTGCTGTTCCCTCCTCCTCGCGACAATGCTACGGTTGCTCACATTGGTCAGTACGCAGCTAGTCACACCACCGGGTTGCCTCCACCCCAGCTGAGCGTGGGAGTCGACAACCGTGGTAATGTAACGCGAAGGCTGCAGCACACTCCCATTTTCGGTGGTGATTCTGTACCTGTTCCTCCTAGTGGCCCACTGCCCCGCCCCTCACGCCTAAAATGCTAAGCCTAAAGGTCGGGAAATCTCAATTCACACTTGTGAGTTTAGAAGAGGCAACCTTTGGGTACTCATGCAATACAGATTCTTCTGGAGTCCAAAAACAGCATGACAAATTGCAATCTTCCAGACCCAGACATTTTTACATTTGATAGATCGACCTGGTACACAATCTCGGGGTTCGTGGCGCGCCTCGCAGCCTTGGATCGCACCCACGAGCAGGTTATCAAATGCAAAAACGTCTGGGTCTGGAAGAGTCGGGGCTTGTCATGCAGATTTTGCATGACCCGTGAGGTCTGTGATGCTGGTGCTAGCATCACAGATTTTTTGAGAGCTTCTTGATGCTAATTACGCATGACAAATGCCCTCTCCGCGTAGCACAAACTGGACCTTTCTTGCTGGTCATGCAACACTAATTTTTTTAGAATCCATGACAAGTTGGATTCTTCCAGACCCAGACATATTTGCATTTGATACACGTCGACAGTTCAGCCCCTGCTTGCGCCACGTTGCGATTGGCAACGGCCGTCCCGATATCAACTGTAAAAATGTCTGGGTCTGGAAGGTTCTGACACTTGTCATGCACGTTTTGCACGAGCCCTGATGTCTGTGATGCATGCCCTAGCATCACAGATTTTTTGAGAGCTTCTTGATGCCTATTCCGCATGACAAATGCCCTCTCCGCGTAGCAAAAATTGCATTCCTTTTGGTACTCATGCAATACAGATTTTTCTGGAATCCAAATGCAGCATCACAAGTTGCATTTTCCCAGACCCAGACATTTTTACATTTGATACCCGAAGGCCAGAAATCCGCCGTGGACGGTGGTTGCGGCGGTAGCGCCGTTATCAAATGCAAAAATGTCTGGGTCTGGAAGATTGCTAGGTTTGTCATGCAGGTTTTCCATGACCCCCACGGTCTGGCATGCACTGCCTAGCATAACAGGTTCTGTGAGATCTCTACCATGCCTTTCCTGCATGAGAAACCGCCTCTAAACTTGTTCAAAAGTGGACCTCTTTTGGTAATCATGCAACACAAATTTTTCCACGACCCAGATACATATACATAGCGTGATAAGTTACACTCTTCCAGACCCAGACACATTTGCATTTGATAGCCGTTATAGTCCGGCACGTCGACGCCGTTCACGGCGTGGGGGTTGGTTATGGATTGCAAAAATGTCTGGGTCTGGAAGAATGCAAGAAATGCAGTTTTTCCATGACCCATGAGGCCTGGAATGCAGCGCCTAGCATGACAAACGCTGTGAGGTGTCTATCGTGCCTATCCTGCATGAGAAACTCCCCGTCAAACTGGTCAAAAGTGGACATCTTTTGGTAATCACGCAACGCAAGTTTTTGCATGCTTCAGATTCAGCATGACAAGTTGCATTCTTCCAGACCCAGACACTTTTGCATTTGATATTGGTTACCGCCCGGTACCTATGCTCCGTTGTCGGGTCCCCCAAGGTATGCAACGCAATAGCATCGTACAACTAGTATAAATTGCATTACAAATTAGCCCAGCATTACAAATTGGATCTGTAATGCTGATTTGCCTTGAGAAAGAGATTTGTATACGCATAAAGATAAATGCAATTACAACTACGAGTACGATACTTTTGCACAGGATACAAGGTGTTCGCCTCGTCCCGTTTGGGGAAGACGGACACGGTAAAGTCCTGAAACTTGCGTAACTTTCTCCCGTCCGAGGCGGCCACGAAGAGCTCCAACCCGCATAGAATCAACTTGTCGCTGGCCGCCTGCGCCTGGATCCGCAGGGTTTTCAGTTCCCTGTACAGGGCAATGGTCGCCATGTACTTCCCCGTGCTCGTGTACAGCCCGTCGAGCCCCTCGTTGTTCGTCTCACTCTGCTGCACCGTGGTCAACTTCTGCGCGCATCAAATGTAAAAATGTCTGGGTCTGGAATATTGCGAGATTTGTCATGCATAGTTCGGATCAGGCAAATGGCGTCTGATGCGGGCAAAAGCATCACAGGTTTTGTGCACGCCTCGTGATGCCTGTCCCGCATTAGAAACTTCCTACTTGCGTGACAAGAAATGGACAGCTTTTGGCGCTCATGCAACACAAATTTTTGTGTGTCCCAGAGTTCTTTGCATCACAAGTTCCAACCCTTCCAGACCCAGACATTTTTACATTTGATAGCGCGCTGCTTGGGTCAAAACTCCCCAAGAAGATTCCGTTGTCAATCAGGAGGTAATATGGATTGCAAAAATGTCTGGGTCATCTGGAAGAATGGAAGGTCTGTCATGCTCCGGTAGCATGACTCCAAGGTCTGTCATGCTCGTTGCCCAAAAGTAGTCCCACTTTTCTGTCATGCCGAAAGGCGGTTTGTCATGCAGAATTATACCCAACACCTAGCAAGTCAGAAACTTGTCATGCTGAGCCGTCACTTATGGCGTCGTCAGGATTCGCCAACCAGCATCACAAGTTTCCAGACCCATAGACATATTTGCAGTTAATAGGTAAAACGGCTTCAGAAAGTCTCGATCCCCCGCCTGGTTGGTGTTCCAAACGCGCAGTTTGGTGAGGGGCACCGGGAAGCCGTCGTAGCTTTTCCACTCCCAAAAGGGGTAGCTGGCTGAGCTTTCGGAATAGTAACAGAAGTTGATCGCCTCATTCAGGAAATCCCGGTGCACCCCGTCCGGGGTCTGCAGAAAGTCGGCCCGGTGGGTATGCAAGAAAAAAACGGCGTAAGTGTATTAAAAATTTGTGTTGCAGGGGATGCAAGTAGATGCGTACACTTGTCATGCTGGACATGCATCAGAGGTTCTTCTCGTAGTACTTAAGTGTTTTCACTGATACTAGCTACGCATGAGAGGTCTATTTCTCTGTCATACAGAGCAAATTTGTGATGCTGTTCCTCCAAGAAGGTTAGGGTTACACTTAGACTTACACACTTTTTTTCCCGGATAGTGGGGGTTGATCTTGTAGTTGCTCAGGACCTGGTGCTATCAAATGCAAAAATGTCTGGGTCTGGAAACTTGTAATGCTGCGCTGGGAATAGTGAATGCTCTGTAATGCACAGCCAAGCATGAGAAATATCTGCGCTTCTTTGTGTTGCGATTTTCGCATGACAAACTGCGTTTTTGCACGACAGGAAAAAGGGTCTCTTCTTGGACACGCATCACAAGCTTGATGGTCATGCCAGACAAGCATGACAAATCTTGCAATCTCCCAGACCCAGACATTTTTGCATTTCATAGGTACGCTCGCTTCAGGGTGTGGCGGGCGGCGAACGCCGCCTCTTTCCTGCCCTGCGTATCCTGTGCAAAAGTATCGCACTCGTATTGCAATCATGCATTACAAATTTTTTTTTAAGGCTCGTCCGCATTACAAATTTCATTCCTCATGCTGAGGAAATTTGTAATGCATTTATACGAGTACGGTACTTTTGCAGTTCATACTGCGTAGCGGTGAGCCACTCGTGGCCCAGAAAGAGGCTGTAGTCCGTGCAGTGGTGCTGTTCGTCCTGTAGTCCCGTGTCGGAATGCACCAAAGCGGACAGTCATCCTATGCAAAAACGTCCCCACCCCAAAGTTGTCATGCAAATCTGCATGGGAAAAATCTTTCTCATGCGGAGCCCCATGAGACGCGTTTCATTCTTCGTCACGTTGTGGAATTTGTGACGCTCGAACTCGCATGATTATAGGCGAGATCTGTGATGCTGCTGGAGCTACTAGCTAAACAGAACTACACTACACCAAGGCCAAACCTTTCATGCGCAGCTGCAGCAAGCAAAGCTGGGTGATTTGTCTAGCAGATTTCACATCTTGACTATGGGGTCGTGGGCGCGTTTTTACAAAGGATAACAGTGCAGCTATCGTAAGGAAAAATCCCCCCTCCCCATAACAAAAAGGAAGCCACAGAAAATTTGCAATGCTGATTTGTGACCACAAGTCGGGTCTGTCTTGCCAGTAGGCAACTCCACAGGCTCCGCCGCATTATGCAGGCGATTTGTGATGCTGTTGGGCCTACGGCGTGGACACTTGTAATGCCAGGCGCCTATGTCAACACCTCGCTGCCCAGGGTTGGCACATGCCTGCACTCCTCTACTGCAAGACAAATCTGATTTGTGTACGCAAATCCAGCATCACAAATTTCCTTTTCGATATGGGGAGGGGGTATTTTTCCTTTTGATAGCAGCGTTGCTCGGGAGCTCGTTCAACGTGTCCGTTTTCTATTGTGAGGAAAAATTCCCCCGCCTCCCCATACTGAAAAGGTACGCTTCGAAAATAGATTTGCGATGCTGATTTGTGGCCACAAGTCCTGTCTCTCATGCAAGACGGCAAAGCCAAAGAATCCGCCGGATCTTGATGCAGGCGGTTTGTAATGCTGTTGCGGCTACATGGCAAGCCTCTGCAGTATGCGAAGCACCTACACCAAAACACTCCTACGCAGGCCTCGGCTCTGCCTGCAGTGCCTCACTGCAAGACAGAGCTGATTTGTGTACACAAATTCAGCAACAGAAATCCCCGCTTCAACATGGGGAGGAGGGGTTTTTCACTTTGATATTTTCGCGCTGGGGTTCACGCGCCGCTCGTAGTTTGGTTCCGCCCACAAGGAGTAAGAATAATCAGCAGATGGACCCGCAGCCCAGGCCGCGATCTCGTCGGGCCGCTTCTCGTCCTTTCCGAAGGGTAGTTGCAACTCGTCTTCCACCAGGGTTGTACCGGCGTCTGCCATCAGCGTCTCCTCCTCCGGTAACACCCGGTCCGGGAATTGCCTCTTCAGCGTAAACACTGTCTCGTCGTCCCCGCTGGGCCGCTTGGTTGCGGGCGTCCCAGACACCAGTTGCAAGCCCTTCACGAGACCGAAGCTGCTCCCGGCGCTGTGGAAGTGTCAGAATCGAAATCGACACAATCGAAAAACTTGTGATGCACAAAATCGATGCCAGTTGGAGCCTTAGTTTCCAAGTGGCGCATGACAAATTTCGGAACCACCAAAATCCAGTCTGTCATGCTGTTCGGGACCACCTGCTCCTGTCATGCTACTCTGGCAACACATTTCATACGACCACCCCTAAACAGGCTCACAATCGGTCTCATTTGCCTGCTCCCCAATACAGGCCTCGCGTGCCCCGCATTTTATGCATCACAAATTTTTCGATTTTGTCGATTTCGATCCTGACACCCCCATAGGCGCTCTTCGATGAGTAGCAGTCCTTCATGCGGTAGTGCACCGTAAACTGGCCGTATCAAAAGAAAAAAGCTCGTCACGATCACTCATGGGCATTTTTGCAATACAAAAAATGCCTGTCATGAGTAAAAACACACCACAGCTAAACTTCATACGTGATTTCCCTTCGTGTTTCTGCAACACAAGGAAAAGTTGTGATGCTACTTAAAAGACTTTGTAAATGCAAAGCCTCCACGTTAGCGACTGGGACAAACTTTTTTCTCCCCATAGGCCGTCCCCCAGTTGACATGGGTTGTCACATATGAATTGCAAAAGTATCGCACTCCTACTCGTATCAATGCATTACAAATTTCCTCAGCATGAGAGATAAAATTTGTAATGCTGATTTACCTTAAGAGAAAGATTTGTAAATGCATGATTGCAATACGAGTATCAGATACTTTTGCACAGGATATCACACGCGCACCCGGCCCTGAACAGTTTGCAGTGTATCCCGAGTAAAAACGTCCCGCCCACCCCAGAGTTGTCATGCAATTCTGCATGCCAAAAATGTTTGTCATGCGGAGCCCTATGAGAAGCGGTCTCTGTTCGTATTTTGGGATTTGTGATGCTAGAATGAGTATGCCCTGCAAGATCTGTGACGCTTCTGAACTAGCAAAAGAAACAGCATTACACTTATGAGGACAAACTTGCCATGCGAGACAACCAGCGCTGGTTGATTTCTCTACTAGCAGATTTTCCATCTTGACTCTGGTGTGGGGACGTTTTTACACAGGATACAGTGCTGGTAATAGTTAAACCCCTGCAACTTGCTCGAGCTTTCGCGTTTCGCTTTATCGCAAGAAAGAGCTGTCGCCGTCTCAAACGCTTGTAGTAGAATCAGGATCAGCAATACAAATTTGGTCAGCATGACACAGAAAATAACCTGTGATATTACGTTAGACACAAGGCAAAGACCTATAAATATGAAAAGTGACTCTCTTGCAGCGTGAGCGTGTACGTGTTCGTCAGCATGACAAAAAGAAAAAACTGTCTCAAGGAAGTTGCGCATTACAAGTTGAGACTGAGTCCGTTTTTTCTCGCGATACGCTTCCCAGCCGATGTACAGCTCGAACTCCTCGCAGAAGGTATGCAAGAAAAAAACTGTGTAAGTGTAAATCTGTGATGCAGAAAATGCAAAACAGTTACACCTGTCATGCTCGACATGCATGATCGGCTCGCTTCCTACGTGTTTTCCCTTCCTATCTGCGCATCACAAGTTTTCCCTCGCAGACAAACTTGTGATGCTGTTTTCCCAAAAGACCTAGTACACTAACACAGTTTTTTTCTTGCATAGAAGGGAGTCTGGGAGCAGAGGTAGTAGCATTCGCTCGTCGAGTATCGCAAGAAAAAACTGCTTCACTGTAAACTTGTAATGCAGAAAATGTATCTGCGCAGTGTTTGTCTTGCTACACATGCAAGACACTAAATTTACAAGAAGACGGGTCGCCCTGAAGGGCGGCCCTTTCTTGAGCTTGATTTTGTCGCATTCAGTAAAATGATCAGTAGGACTGTTGGGCTGGGCTTCCTGGGAAGGGGGAAGGGCGGGGCAGGGGTAGCGCTAAGGAAGAGTAGCGCGACAAGGCCAGGAGATCAGTGCATAGCGCTGATAAAAGTTGTAGGGGCAGCAGCTGTAGACAGAAAGCAAAAAGGCGCCACGGATACAGCCAGAGCAGCTGCCTGCCAGCTCTGAAGAAGCCAACAGGCCTCCAGACACCTGCACAGCGGAAGCGAAGCAGAAAGGCGGCGGCCCGAAGGCTGAAGCAAGGCGCGGCTTCGTGTCCGGTGCTGGATAAACTAACAACATTGCGACGCGGCTCCGCTGATCATGCATGGGCAGCACGCTGAAAAAATGCGCTGACGAAACAGGGCCCGCCGGCGGGGCAAGTGAATGCTGCGGCACAGATATTCGCCTGGCTTCTGTGTTCGTATTGGCTGTGGCGGCCTGGCCCTATTTCGCCACCCTACACACCTCCGGGGCGCGGGGAAGGCAGTTGCTGCGCTCGATTTTGCGGGAATCCTTCGCAGGTGGCAGCCGCGGGATGGCGTACGATAGGGCCGGACGGTGAAGGCATGGCGGCCGAGTACAAAGAAAGCGACAGGCGGGCGGGCCGAAGTGGCTGGCTGATCTGCATGCTGGCCATGTGCCAACACAAAATAAAACAAAAAGGAAATATCTGGCGGCGCCCCCCCGCCCAGCAACTGCGCGAAAGGAGCGCCCCCGCCCCTCTTGGATTTCGAACAGGCTTCGGAAAGCCATAGGAAACGTCTCCTCTGTCTAGATCTTTCGCGGGCGGGGGCATTCGGGGTGGCCGCGGTTGAGGGGAAACGGCGCGCGGGCTGGCCCGGTGTGCCCTTTGGGGGCTTCGGGTCGAATTGATTTGCCGCGAGCAATCAAAGTCCGTCGGGCAAAAATGGCTGGGGCAAAAGGAGAAGGCGCGACGTTTGTGACCCGCGCAGGCCGGCGCGACTTTCAATTTTGAAAGACGCGACCTCTTCGGCGCCTGAGACGGGGGGGCACGCACCGAGGCAAGGGCTAGGCTAGGTAGGAAGTTGCGGGGCAGGCCCTAGGGGGCGAGGGCCGTACGGGGCCGCCTGGCCATGGATACTCCGGGGGGCCGAAAGGGTGGCGGCGGGTGGCCTCACAACGGGCCTCAGGGGGGCCTCAAGGAAAACCCCAGGGGGGGGGCCGAGCGAGGGGGAGGGGCCTCCGGGCGGGTTCGGCTTTAGAGTGTGCCGAAGCTTGCAAAAGTTTATTGTTTATTTTTTCGGTAAACCTGTCCCCTGCCTGCGCCGGGGCATTGATCTGAACAATAGGGCAGCAGGGTATGCCTTTCAGAGTGGGACGCAGGGGGGGCCCCAAGGGGGGCGGGCCTGTGGGGGGGGCCTTTAATTATTCGAGGCAATGAGGCCCTTCAGTTCCGGGGGCCGGAGGCCCGCAAGCTCCATCGGGCTGCTCGAGCTCGCCTGGGTTTTCCACTTGCGGCCCACCTTGCAACGCCTGGAAAGCCTTAGGGTGGGGCGGCCTTGGGCTTGTTGGGTTTCGTTTTTAGAGGCGGGGGCCAACGGGATGGCTTTGGCGGGGGGAGGGGGAACAATGCCCGGGCGGGCCCTGGGGGCCCTCTGCGGACTTCTGTTCGAATCGACTGGGCGCGGGCAACCAAAATCGGGGGGCGGGGCAAAGGGCAAAAGGCGAAAGCCTGGTGCGGTTTGGTCGCGCAGGCCGGCGCGGCTTCTCATTTATTCTAACTATCCGAAAGACCCTGCCGGCGCCTGGGCCGGGCAGGCTTCAAAGTAAGCTTCAGGGCAGAAGGCCCCAGGGAGCGAGGCAGTGCCCTGCCGGGCTGGCCAATGGGAATGGAGGGGCCCGAGGGGGGCATAGGGGGGGCTTTTGTGGGGGCCTTAGGCCCGAAGGCTTGCTCCGTGCCTCATTGGCCTGCTTTTATGACGGGGCGGCCCTTTCGCTCCGAAACTTGAAGCCCGAAAGCCTCCTCGGTTTGCCCGACCTTGTCGCTCGGCCTTGCCCCTTTGGCCCCTGTCCCAACGATCAGAAAACCCCACGGCGGAGGGACCCCCTCCAGGATTTATTCTAAAGTAAGGGGGCCGGCGAATGGCTGCGATTGAGGAGGGGGGGATGGAACAATGTCCAGGCGGCCTGTGCGGGCGTTTTGCACGCTTCTGCCCGAATTGCTTTGCCATGGGCCGCCAAAATCGGGCGAACGTGCGAAGGCAGGGCAAAGAAAAGGCGAACGCGCGAAGTGATTCCGTCGCGCGGGCCGCCGCGGCTTTTAATTCATTTCGAAAGACCCTGCCGGCGCCTGAGACAGACGGGGCTCGGGCAATGGCCGGCGCAAGGACTTGCATTCGAGCAAAAAAAGCTTCAGGGCAGAAGGCTGGCCCTAGGGAGCAAAGGCACTGCCGGGCGGGTCTTTTGGGTGTTCATAGGGGGGGACTTCGGCTTGCCAATGTTCTAAAAATGCCAAAGCATTCAGGAGAACCTTTCCGGCGCCTGCGACTGGGCGCGGTCCAATAGGGCTACAGGGCATGCCATACAGGGTGGGCCAGAGTGGGGCCTCTATGGGGTGGCGGGCCTTTGAGCTAGAGAAGCCGTCCGTTTCCGGGGGCCGACTGGAAGCCCGAAAGCCCCTCCGGGTTCTTCGGCCTCGCCGGCTTCTCTTCGTTCCTTGCCACTTTCGGGGTTCATTACAACGACCAGAAAGCCGGAGGAAAGACCTTGGCTGCCTAGGTTTTTCGGGGTGGCCTTGCTGCGCCTTGGGAGGAACAGTGTCCGGGCTGGCCCGGTGGGCCCTTTGCCTTTTGAGGCTTCTGCTCGGATTGCTTGGCTTGCCGCGGGCAATCGCAATCGGGCAAAAAAAGCATAAGGACAAAAGGCGAAGGCAAGGCCCTGACCCGCAAAGGCCGGCGGGGCTTGCAATTCTGAAAGGCCTGGCCGGCGCCTGAGAGGGGGCATGGGCGCAGGGGCTGGGCTTTAAAACTTCAGGGCAGGCCCTAGGCGGCGGGGGCCGTAGGGGGTGGGCCTCTGGGGGGACCTCAGTCTGCCGGGGGGGGCTCAGGGGAGGCTTCAGGAAGGGCTCCCGGCCGGACGGAGAGGCCATGAAGGCGGGGGCCAAGAAGAAGCCGGACGCGTAGAAAACGGCGAAGCCCAGGCCACGCGCCAAAGGAACGGAGGGGGGGGAAAAGGGAAAGGGAAAGGGCAAGAAGATCTCCCCTTGGCGAAGCGGCCCCGCCCGCGCTTAGGCATTACCTCGAGGCGGCCCCGCCTGCGCAATTGTTTCAAAACTTTCCAAAGCGCCCCCGCCCGCATTTGCGGGTGGTAGTTTTTTTCAAAGCGGCCCCGCCATTAATTGAAACCAAAGGACAAAGCCGAAGCAACGGACGAAGTATTCAGCCAAAGCCAAAGACATCGCAAATTTATTTTTTCCAAAGCGGCCCCAGCCACAATCAGAAGGAGAACCGGCGGGCCAACCCAGACTCACAGCGCGCGGCGCCGCCCGGGGTTGTTCGATCGCTGCCGGCGTCACATGGTCGTCGATAGTCTGCCGGGCTTTATGTTCTGGATTCGGCGTCTGCGAACGCGAAAAAAAGGGGGGGCCTAAGGGGGCCTAGCCCCCCCCCTTTGGCAAAAGGGGGGGCTTTTTTGGCCTCAGGCGTCTGCGAACGCGAAAAAAAGGGGGGGGCCTACGGGGGGGCCTAACCCCCCCCTTTGGGCAAAAGGGGGGGGCCTTAGGGGTGGCCTTTTTTGGCCTAAGGGGGGGCCTGAGGGGGGGCCTCAGGGGGGGCATTAGGGGTCGAGGGGGGGCCTGAGGCCCAGAATAGTGCTAATGATCATTATTAGTCTCGTAATTTTAGCTGTGTTTTCCCTTAGGAATCTCGCATGGCAAATTCATTTCTCTGTGATGTAGAACTGAAAGAAACTTGTGATGCAAAGCTTGCAAAACTCTTTTACGAGTGAAACACTTTTTTCGTACGATATCGAGTAGTGCCGATCGTTGTACTTCGCCTCGTGTGGGTGCGCGTCTAAGCTTCCACTCGCCTGGCCCAGTGGGGCTGCGTTGCCGCACGCGAAGGGGTACCGTATGCATTGCAAAAGTATCGCAGTACTCGTAAAAATGCATTACAAATTTCCCCAGCATAAGAAATAAAATTTGTCATGCGGATTTACCATGACCATGAGAAAAAAATTTGTAATGCATGACTGCAATTACTACGAGTGCGATGCTTTTGCACAAGATATACCGGGGCTGCAAGCAAAACACCTCTTCCTGGTCGTTGCGGAAACGGGAGGGAAAAAACTGTCGCACCAGGTCCGACTGGAGGTGTTCGGGGTACGCCTGGTTTCCCCTATCGAACGGAAAAATCCCCCCTCCCCATATCAAAGCGACAATCTGCGTTGCGGTATTTGTGTACACAAATCAGCTTTGTCTTGCAGTATAGGAGTGCAGGCAGATACAAAGCCCGGAAGAGCTGGCCAGAGGTGGGCGCCCAGCATGGCAGACGTCTGCCCTGTTGGTGCAGCAGCACGCCTGCGCAAAGCGGCGAAAGCTCTGGCTTTGCTCTCTTGCAAGACAAACCTGATTTGTGACCACAAATCAGCAACACAAATTTTCAAAAGGATGCCTTTTCGATATGGGGAGGGGGGATTTTTCCTTTTGATATCCCCCCGCCGGCGTTTCCGCTTCTGCGGTCGCCGAGACGGGTATGACAGTGCACAACTCCCCCTCGTTCTCATTTCTCATGCAGAATACCAAATCCACGCTTTCCCTCGCCCTCCTGTCACTATTTATTATGCATGACAGGCTCTGGGTCTGGTAGCCCAAATTAAAATTATAGCACTATACTCCAGTGCAAATCTGTCATGCAAAACCGGCCTCCACCTCGCTGATGCTTGTATTGCCGTTCATGCCATACAAATGAGGGGGAGGGGGAGTTGTGCACTGTCATAACGGGGCTGGTGAGGCTGCGGAAAACCGTGTATCCTGTGCAAAAGTATCGCACTCGTATAATTATAAATGCATTACAAATTTCCCCAGCATGAGAAATAAAATTTGTCATGCGGATTTTCCTTGAAAAAAAAAAATGTAATGCATGAATGCAATTACTACGAGTACGATACTTTTGCACAGGATACCGTGTTGACGTAGTTGATGCCGTGTTCGATGATGCGGCACCGGTCGTATCCTGTGTAAAAACGTCCCCACCCCAGAGTTGTAATGCAAATCTGCATGCTGAAAATGTTTCTCATGCGGAGACCCATGAGAAGCAGTTTCTGGTCGCTTTTTGGTATCTGTGCTGCTAGAATCAGCACGATGCGCTAGATCTGTGATGCTGCTCAACAAGCTAAACAGGATTACACTACGAGGCCAGGCTTGTCATGCGCAACCGCAAAAGCTGACAGATTTGTCTAGCAGATTTCCCAGCTTGACTCTGGTGTGGGGACATTTTTACTCAGGATAGGTCGTACACGTCCTTCATGTCGAAGAGGACCTCTCGTATGCTCTGCAAAAGCATCGCACTTGCCTTGTAGTAATTGTAATTGCAGTCATGCATTACAATTCTTTTTTTTTTCCTAAAAGTCAATCCGCATTTTCACAGATTTCATTTCTAATGCTGGGAAAATTTGTAATGCAATTTCTACTAGTACGATACTTTTGCAATTCGTATCTCGGTACTGGGGGTGATTCGCGTTGTCCCCCTCGGGCGAGGCCTTGCAGGTGAGTGTGGTGGGATGCAGTTTACATAGGAAATTTCCCGCGCCCGCCCTGGGGTGAAATTTGCGAACCTGGAAGCCCCGGCACTTCTCGTTGGGCCGGTTTGCGTCCCAGACAGGCATGCCGAAATTTCGGTCTATGGAAGTGTCAGAATCGAAATTGGCAAAATCGAAATGATTTGTCATGCATAAAATGGATTCCAGTCCGAACCCAGTTTCTAAGTGGCGCATCACAAATTTTGGTGGTGCCTAAATCCAGTTTGTAATGCTGCTTAGGCAAATAACACTGATTCTCTCATGCTGCCCTAGCAGCTCGAGCTAGAACCCCAAACAGACTTACAATCGGCCTCACTTGCCTGCTCTGCAACACACGTATTTCGCGTCATGCATTTTATGCATCACAAGTTTTTATTCGATTTTGCCAATTTCGATCCTGACAGTTCCATACGGTCGTTCTCCAGGTTAAACTCGGCGCACCGCATTATGCATTGCAAATATCCCTGGAGGTCTGGAAACTTGCGATGCTGCGTGGCGTATCATGAGGAGGCCACAAGTGCTGGATTAGCATGACAAGTTTCTGAGCTTCTAGATGTTGCGTATTCTGCATGGCAAACCGCCTTTCTGCATGACAGAAAAGTGGGGCTCTTGGGTAACGTGCATGACAGGTTTAAGAGTCAAGCAAGACAAACATTGCATCCTTCCAGACCCAGACATATTTGCAGTTCATACGCATGGCGCAGGACCCAATCGTGCCCTGCTGCTGCTTCTGGTACACCATCGGGAAGGCGTATGGAGGTATCAGGATTGAAATCGACAAAGTTGAAACAGTTTCTCATGCTAAACCGACCGAAACCACTACACAACCTGTAAGGGCACCTCACCGCAGATGGTTCGGCCACCAGGTCGTGGAGTCAGGCGGACCGAAGCCATCACCATCCTCCTCGGAAACAATTTCTCATGCAGAAACTGCAAGACATGAAGCGCCTCTCTTGCAGGGATGACAAGTGAGGCCGACTGTCAGCCTGTTTGGGGTCTGCGATAGAGCTGCCAAAGTAGCATTGACAAAAGACGCCTTCTGTCCCTGAAGAACATGACAAAAAGAATTAGACGGCGCCTAAATTTGTCATGCACCGCTTGGAAATTGGGCTTCCAACTGGAACTCGTCCTGATATTGTTTTTATGCATCACAAATTTTTCAACTTTGTCAATTTCAATCCTGATAGTTCCATAAGGTGAGGCGGTAGTCCGTTTGCGACCCATCGAATATGGAAGCGGCAGAATCGAAATCAACAAAATCTAAATAATTTGTGATGCATAAATTCGATACCAGTTGGAGCCTCAGTTTCCAAGTGGGGCATGACAAATTTCGGAAGCAACAAAATCCAGCCTGTCATGCTGTTTGGGCAAGGAAGACTGCTCCTCTCATGCTACTCAGGCAGCGCATCGCCTTCCCCTAAACAGGCCTGCAATCGGTCTCATTTGCCTGCTCCCCAACACAGGCCATACCCATACGTGCCCTACATTTTATGCATTACAAATTTCTCGATTTTGCGAGTTTCGATTCTGACACTTCCATATCGGAGCGTTCGTGGTTACAGTTTTGCCAGTCCGTTGCGGGGCACGCCATATCAAATGCAGATATGTCTGGGTCTGGACGAATGCAAACTTCTCAACATGCACATTTTCCATGCCCCATGAGGTTTGGAATGCAGGACCTAGCTGCATGGCAGGTTCTGCGACGTCTGTATCATGCCTCTCCTGCATGACAGACTGCCTCTTCTAAACTTGTTCAAAAGTGGACAGCTTTTGGCAGTCATGCAACACAAATTTTTGCACGATCCAGACTTAGCATGACAAGTTTGCGTCCTCCCAGAGGACCCAGACATATTTGCAATGCATACGTCAGCCGCTCGTACCAGGCTCGCTGTCGCGGCTCATACGCACCATCCCGGAACCGATTGCGGCTGGGCATATCGCGTTCTCAACTGTTACAATTTCAACTGTTATATGGATTTGTGATGCTAAACCAGATACATGGATTTGTGGGCTTCTTACATGGATTTGTGATGCAAGAATGGCAAAAATGAAAGGGGTGGCCCTGCACGTCTTGCGTGACAGATTTGGAACAGATTCTCAGCATGTTTGGCTCTACTTCGTCGAGAATTCGCCATGCGAAGAGCTATCCTGTGCAAAAGTATCGCACTCGTACAAATGCAAGTTTAGCATTACAAATCTTGTCTCCAAGGCAAATCTGCATTACAAATTTTATCTCTCATGCTGAGGAAGTTTGTAATGCATGACGTCGCCTCGGTAGTGTCGTGGCCTCGGTACGCCACTACAAGTTGGCGCGCCGAGGCTAGAAAAAGTTTCCTCAGGACGCACATACGAAATGGCGCACCGAGGCCAAAAATGCCAGCTTTTCGGAATGGCCGCCTCGGTGCACCGGGGCTGACGGCCTCGGTGCGCCAACTTGTAGTCACGAACGAAGCAACAGACGGGCGGAACACAGGGGGGGGGTGGGGGGCCGTCGGCTAAGTCGCGAGACCACGCGCGCGGGCCTTGGCGGGCAGAAAAACAAAACCCGGACCTTGGCCCGCGTCCGAGGGCAAAGTAAAGAACGCAGCAGGCGAAGGCGCCCGCGTCACCAGGGACAGGCGTGCGACAAGAGTCTGGGGCCACCGACTTCCGCGGCGCGTCGCGCATGCGATGGGCAAAGGCGCGCGCGGGCGTACATCATTCGGACGCGAGGAATGGCAAAAGCAAGGACACAGCGACGGCGCGTGGCGTTTCAAAAGCGGGCGCCTCCCGGTGACGTTTTTGCGCGCCGCCTCGGTGCGCCAAAATGTATTGTGAGGGCGCGCCGCTACAATACCAATTCTGTAGGTAGGCAAAAAGATATTTTTTGGCGGGCTCGGTGCTGCCACACATTACAAACCGCACCGGGCTCGGTGCTGCTTTTTGGCGGTTTTTCTCAATGAAAAAAGCGCGAAAATTGTAACGCCCCGTATACGATTTGGCGTACCGAGTCGTATGCGCGTACCCAGGCCACGTCATGCATTTATAAAATAACAATAGAGAATTTTTGGTCCGTTTTTTTGCCCTTATAGTCTATAGGGCGTTTCTTAGAAAATGATTAGTAGGGAGATCACTTTCTAGAAGCTTCCCCTAAGTGAGCTCCTAGAGGAAGCTTCTAAGGGAAGCTTCTAAGGAAACACTCTTGCAGTCTGCGCTTGAGGGTGCAACCTACATCGCAGACCAAACACCCCTGAGCCCGTGGCAGGCTAGCGCGCAAATGCCCCCGCCTGGGGGAGCCGCAAAAAAGCCGCCGGGCCGGTGTTTAGCATCGCTATTCTGGCTACCCTCCGGCACCGGCGCCATCGGGGGGGGGTAGGGGGGGGAGGTGCAAGAGCGCCCCCACCCCGGCAGAGCGAGCGAGCCCACCGCCCCACACAACGACCACCACCCGGCCGCAAGCCTGGGGATATATCTGGGGATATATCTGGGGATATATCTGGGGACATGTCTGGGGACATATCTGGGGACATGTCTGGGGACATATCTGGGGACATGTCTGGGGACATATCTGGGGACATGTCTGGGGACATGTCTGGGGACATGTCTGGGGAGATATATCGGGGAGATATATCGGGGAGATATATCCCCAGATATATCCCCAGATATATCCCCAGATATATCCCCAGATATATCTATGGGGCCTGCAATCAAAAAGGGGGGCCGGGGTTTCTGCGAGATGGCCGGGCCCCCGGATCCTTTAAAATTTTGCAGGGGCTACTGCGAAACTTCCTCGGGGATCCTGCAAAAACGGGGGCGGGGGTTCTGCAAAATTGCCGGGCCCCCGGACCCTGCAAAATGTCGCAGACCCCCCCGTCCAGATTTCCTCGGGGACCCTGCAAAAAGGGAGGCGGGGGCCACATGCAAAATTGCCGGGCCCCGGACCCTGCGAAACTTCAATGGGGGTTCAGCAAAATTTAGTCGCGGACCCTGCTAAAAGGGGCCGGGGCTTTTGCAAAATTGCCGCCCGGGCCCGCGGATCCTGCGTGCAAATTTTTGCAGACGCTCCTGCTAAATTTCGTCGGGGGCCTGGAGAAAAGGAAGGCCGAGGCTTCTGCAAAATTGCCGGACCCTCGGATCCTTTAAAATTTTGCCGGGGCTACTGGACAACTTCGCCGGGGATCCTGCAAAAAGGGGAGCCTCTCGGAGCTCTTCCGAAGGAGACGCGCCGAAGAAAACGACTGGCATTGTGGGGACCAAAAATCGAAATCCTGCATGTGCGTCCTCCTCACGGGAAGAAAATAACACAACAGCAGCGCTTTTTTCCTCCGATTTCTCGCCCTTATAGATTAGAGAGCGCTCCATATTAGGGGCTGACGAGTAGGGGGGGCCGTTCTAGGAGTTTTTCTATCGGTCTCACTTAGCGAGCTTCTTCAGAATGAAGGGGCCGGCGGAAAGGCAGGAGGGGCGTTGCGGGTGGTTCTTTCTAGAATTCAAACAGCCCAAAAGAGGGGGATCAGGCGAAGGCCCGCGGCCGGGAGGATGGGGCGGGCTAGAAGCTTAGGAGACGAAAGCGAGCGCGCCCACTAATGCGGACCGTTACGAGTGGTAGTGAAGGGCTTTAGCGTTACTAGCAAGCGCGGGCCTGTTTTGTCATGCTAATACCTCCGCCCGGAGGGCTTCTAATAGTGGTCGCGTCTCCGCTAGCAGATTCCCAATGGTAGGACTCTCTCGACTAGCCTTCGCCCCCAGGCTCGCCAAGTTTTTTCCTGTTTCTTATTTGCGTTTAGATTTACTTGACGACCTATCGCCGGCGTCCTGGACGCCGGCGTAGTAGTCTAGTACGAGTACGATACTTTTGCGCAGGATTGCAGCTTGATCGTGTCGATTCTGATTGTAATTTTGCATTGCAAAAATGTAACATTTGAGAATGTAACATTTGGGAACTACGCCATAGGGCAACTCGGCGGCGTGCAGGTCGAAGTCGGAAACACCGGGGTCCATGGCGTAGGCGAAAGTTTTCGGAACCAAGTAGAACACCTGCAACCCACAAAACGCCAGTTGGCGGTTACTGGCAGCGGACTCGAGTTTTATTTTCGTGTATGAATTGCAAAAGTACTATCGTACTCGTCGTATTTATAAAATGCGTTACAAATTTCCTCAGCATGAAAAATGAAATTTGTAATGCTGATTTTCCTTAAGAGAGAGATTTGCAATGCATGACTGCAATTACTACGAGCACGATACTTTTGCACAGGATATCGTGACCACCTGGTTGATGTGGAAATCGGTGCCGAAAATGTTTTGCCTCAGGTATCCTGAAGAAAAACGTCCCCACGACCACATTACTATCTATTATATTCATGCGAAAAAAGAGGTCTACAGAGGATAGCAGAGAGGTGGCCGAGAGGTCAAAAAGAGGTGAAAAGAGGTCAAAAAGAGGTCAAAAAGAGGTCGACAGAGGTGGAGA